ATATTTCAAGTTCGCAATATATATACTCTTGACCACAATCATATACATCTCGCTTTTTTACATTGATTGATGTCTACACACACACAGTGCGAGTGCAATAAATGCGTTCACCACATACCGTGCAATATCATAAAAATACTTGAAATTCAATATCAATCTCAATCTATTTTTTATTATTACCAAATGATGATTTTTGATTAGCCCTTTTTTTCTGTTGGCTGTTGAATGTTTGTCGAACGGTAAATAAAATAAGAAGAAGAGAAAAAAGTAACGAGATATATAAAATGACGAACGGATGGAATGAACAAAAAAGGGAATGAAGCAGCCGACGAGCGAAAGAGAAGCGAAAACGCAAAAAAATACTATATTATTGAGTGCAATGTATAGCCGGTCAGACAGAGAAAAAGAGAGTAAAAGGAATGTGCTGATGTCGTTGCGTATATCGCGTATCATATGTTGTGTGTATTGTACATAAACAGATCGTACTTGTGTACTATACTACGTATAGATTGCATAATTACACAACCGACGAACTTGTATCTCTCTCTCTCTCTCTCTCTCTTCTTGTGTTCGCTTTTTTTTGTATGGCAAAACCGCGATAACAGACAGAACGAATGCCTAAGTGCACATGTCATTCACTGCAAATGTATTATACAACATTCGAAATGGGTGAAATTAATGGAAAATCCACTGCCTAAAATTATAATTGATGTCATTTATTATTTAAAAAAAAAGAAAGAAATATTTTACAGTGTACGTGGTTTTTATTGCCGAAAAACTTTCGCGTCAAATGATTCAAACTTTGTATTCGTTTTCAAATAGTTTCAATTTAGTTCGGTTTCCTTGAGTGACAAAAAACAAGCTCCAACAACTGTAAATACAAATAAATTACTTTGCCCTAAATTCGTTATCAACGTATAAATAGCGTAGTATACTCTACATCTATCGTCGTCATCGCCGTTTGCACGAAATCATGACAACACACAATGAACTTGGAAACACATATTAAATCCATATATAGCTATCATCCATTTCAATTGATGATGAATGCTTTCAAACATACCGAGACATACATTTTAGCGCATATTTTTGTTACCACACACCATTTGGATGCGACAGAATGAAGTTTTGTTCTCTGCTCGTATTGTCAAATTGAAATGATGTGTCGTTTAGCCAATATCAATGGAAAATGTCATTGAATGCATGCGATTAGAGTGTTTTCTCCTTGTTAAAAGTCGAAATTGCTTTACAATGAAATTGACAACTGATTACACACAACCACTTCACTTTCTATCTCTCTTTCTCTTTCGTTACTCTGAATTTCGGTACATGCAATCGTGTGTAATTCTTTTTTATTTCCCATTTACAATCAACATCAAATTAAAACGATTTTTACCTTGATCCAACTGAACATGCTGCTATTTTTGTTTAATTTCGCGTTTCGTATATAAACACATTTTTTTTTTTTGTGATGTTCTAATTTTTCCTTGAGCACAGCAATGCTCGGTATGAGTGTGTATTTAATAATTTCTTTGTTTGTTTGCGTATAGTTTGACATCGTTGTCGTCATCACCGATCAAATTACTCTTTCTCTCGAGTGCGGCTTGCACGCTACACGGAACGAACAAATTGAAACATTGTTGCTCGTTCGTTATGAAATTGAAATTCATATTTGTTTGTGTATATTTTTTTCGAGTTCTGTCTTGTTTTAATACATCAAATACGTGCACGGACGATGATTTTATGGAATAGCATTTGAATATATGGCACACAATGCTGTGTTATTAGTTGCACAATTGATCTAATTGTGGGCGGAACCAGAAATTGAAACCAAAACAAGTTGTACCACGCGCACATATACTAAGTATAATGCAAAAATATTCGACTAACAAACGAATGGAACGAACAAAGATAGTAAAAGAAAGAATGAAAGAAAGAAAGAGAGAGAGAGAGAGAGAGAGAGATATGAAAAAACCAGCACCTTAAGCAATGAGATAGATGAAGTCAATCATTTAGATTATTTTCTTGGCGCAATTCAATCGTCGACCATGCACTGAAATCGAGTTTATATTATAACAATCTATACAAAAAGCATATAAATTTCAAACAAACATTCGTTAAAATAATACACACTCAAATTGGCGAGAAATGGTGAAAAAAGCACCATTTCGTTTTATATATATACGTTTTGACCGTTCTTTTTTCGTTGGCTATTTTGTGCTGACCTCAATCCATAGCAATACATGCCATGTCACTTATTTGCGTTCGTCGGTCGTTTCGCTGCAAAATACTCCATATTTGTATATATATTTTCGAGGTTCGCGTAACTATTACCGAAACTCAATCGAAACAAATCGATGTGCAAAATAAACAAAACTTCAAATTTATGAGCGCTTTTTCACTCAAATGCATCGACCACTCAATTAAATGTTTTGGAATCAAAATTATGTCTATCGAATGCTATCAATAATTGTACAAATCAAAATATTCATATCAAAAAGTAATAAATCGTTTCGATGTGTAAACATTGATTTGAATGTAACAATGAACAAATGTAATTTTGCATTTTCAAAACAAAAAAAATGCGAGCAATATTTACTTGCCATTTTCAAGCATGAATTTATGGTTGAGATAAACAAAATCATATGAATTGAAATGCAAAGTAAATAACATACTTTGTAATACAAAAATAGAGAGAAGAAAAAAAACATTCGCAATTACGCTGTATTTATATATTGTTCTTGTTTTTTTTTTCTGTTCAACTTGAAACCTCTCCATGAACATAATCTTCAATAATACATACAGTAGAACAGTGAAGCGATGAACAGAAAGAGAGAAAAATATCGTATAGTATATCTTTATCTATTGAAAATCATACGACTAGGTAGCTATTTCGGTTTATACCTAAACGCAGTCAAGAGCTAAAAACGAGTAAAGTTTTTTATTTGTTCATGACACATATTTCTAATGCACATTTTCTGCTCTATCCCTCTCTCTTTCACTCGTGCACGTTGCAACTGTTATTTTTTTTATTTTATTATTGACTGTATACAGCAGTGCATAGTGTATATTGAAAATCATTGAGTTTCGCTGTTATATATGCAATTGTGCATGCATATTGAACACACACAGCCACACACACGCGATACTCGAATCTAGGCTACGTGAAGGTTTCGCGCGCGCTGTTCGAAAGGAAAATTAATATTCGTTGGTGTTTTTTTACGATTTCTGATTGTTTTTCGCTCTCTGAATATGGTATATCTGCGCTCTGAATGTGTACATTTTAATGAATATTTGAAATACCGATGAAGGTGTATCGCATGTGTGTAATGTCATTAACTCGTGCATGCGAATAAAAAAAAATTGTCAAGAAGAAGAGAAAGAAACAAAAAAAAGTTCCGACGACATATATTAATAATTGGCCTAGTCACCAGAGACGGAAAGAAAGTCATTAAATCAACCCTAGCATGTAAAATGACTATAAAAACGCATTTTTTTCCTTTTTCTTTGAATGAACCGCTTTTTTGCAGTGGGAAACATGAGTTTTTGATCGGCGTGCCACTTGAAATTTCATTGTTCGTTGGCATTACTGTTTAGAGAGAGAGAGAGTGAAAGAGAATGAGCGCGTGCATCGATGATTAAACATGTTTATAGAGCGCGAAAACGTTTCTTTCCAATTTGTTGACACACATAGCATTCCGTGTTCTTTGAACGTGGCGGCAAATGAATAAAGTCATCAAAATTACGGAATTTCACATGTATTGCACTTCGGTATTTTGTTTCTTTCGTTTGCATTGAAGTGCCGGCGTCACATGTAAATCAATAGCCCGAACATTTGATTATAATCAACAAAACGCTAATGCAATAACATAGCTCTTCATGGAATTACGATTATTATGAGAATGATTCACTTCTCACAGCCGAAGACTTGTTGTGTTTTTTACTTTTGTTTGAAGAGAAGAAAAAACCACACAAGCTCCTGTTCGGCAAAAACAACATCTGTTTGAGTTTCATTTCATTCAATTTCGAAGACACTGCTGTTATTTTTTTCTTCTTTTCTCGAATGCACTTTTGTTTTTCGAAATTGTGTACAAACCTACATCCCATCCGATAAATAGTATTAAGAAGAGTGTAAGATCAAAGAAAATGAAAAATAATAAGTCGAAGTGCACACATACACCAAACCAAAAAGGATAAAGATGAATTTGAAAGACGAACAAAATAACAACCAGCTGAACAATAACAGATGAACAAATCTACGTATGGTTTCATATCTGTGTTTGTGTTGCCGTGGTTGCTTTTTCCGTCTTTATGTTTTTCTCTTATTTAGTGAATTTTCTTTTGTCTCATGAAAACGAAGGCTCTGAGCTCTCTCTCATCCAACCACCTGCCATGTATTTTCAGTTTAACTATTCATACAATGATTGAAATACACATTTTTCACTCCTAGTTTGTGCACACATTTGCTGCAAGCCATCTTCTCATGAATTATGAATGCCGAAGAATTCACTTAACCATCGGATGCTTCTTTTTAGACATTCACTCTTCGAATGGCATTCCGTCAGTTGCATTTCGATTTCGTTTCTTTTATGAAACGAAGAAAAATTGCAGATATATTTTTTGCATTGAATGATCGATTTTTTCGGTTTTTCTTCGATAAATGTAGACGAAGATGGCGAAACAGAAGACGACACAAAAATCGTCTACCCCGAAAACCAATCAATCGTGAAATGGGGTGTAGGTAAACAATTATCCGGTGCTCTCTTTTCTACCATGTTCAAGTTGCCCGTCATGTTGTGCAACACCTTTGGCACGTCTCATTATTGAATTTTGTTTTCTTATGCAACGAACATTGAAAGATTCAATGTGTCCTAGTTCATTCATTGCACATTTTCCAACCGAAATAATTTTGTCTTTGTATGCAACTGTGTTGATGCCTATTGTCTATATATGCACTAATGTGTCTCAAATTATAATTTGTTTTTTCGTTTTTCTTTCAGGGCGACCAAAGCATTTCAACAGTTATTGTATGTGAGTCCAGACTTCGCACGTTCCAATGAAGTACACCTGCGTTTGGGTCTTATGTTCAAAGTGAATCATGATTATGAGGCCGCATTAAAGCACTTGCAGCTTGCACTCTTCGATTCGTCGCCTTGTACATTATCCAAGTTCGAAAGTAAGTTAAATTAGCATTGCTAACCTTTTATTCAAACAACAACAACATTGACAAACGATAAAATGCTCTGAGAGGCATTCTCATTTGGAATGCATGTTCACAAGTATTGATTATAGTGTTTGTTTGTGTTAAAAAAAAGACACACAACAAAATGCTTGACATCAATTTATATGTTAAACAAAATGTGCTGATCAGAATTTTTACGTGACATTCTTTCGATGTGTTTCTTCTGTGTTTTTTTTTTCGTCAATATTATTATTGCTATACATATATTGAACAACTAAGTTATAATTTCGCTTTCTTTCGTTATTATATTTTCAGTTCGTTTTCAAATTGCTCACCTTTATGAAGTACAAAAGAAATATAAATTAGCCAAAGACACATACGGAAAACTACTTCTTGCAGACAAACAGCTGACACCACAATTACGTTCCGATATCTATCGTCAATTGGGATGGATGCACCATACGATTGATACATTAGGCGGTGATAAACGTGAACGTGAAAAGAACGCAATAACATTTCTACAAAAATCCATACAAGCCGATCCAAAGTCCGGCCAATCGCTTTATTTATTGGGACGTTGTTATGCTGGCATCAATAAAGTGCATGATGCATTCATAGCCTATCGTAATTCGGTTGAGAAAAGCGAAGGTAATGCTGACACATGGTGCTCCATTGGGTGAGTTAAATGAAATTACCACCTTTTTTTTCTTCAATCAAATCAAATCAAAATGACTTTTCTAATGGTTTACCTTTTTTCTCATCATGTATTCTTGGAAAATTATGCAGAGTTTTATATCAGCAACAGAATCAGCCTATGGATGCACTTCAAGCGTACATATGTGCAGTTCAATTAGATAAAACACATCGTGCCGCTTGGACTAACTTGGGAATTCTGTACGAGAGTTGTAGTCAACCTCGTGACGCACTCGCCTGTTATTTAAACGCAACTAGATATTCAAGTGTAAGTTTGTATCAAAAAAACCACATCAACATTTATTCAGATCGTTATAAAATCATTTTCATCGCAATACACTAGGCAATTGCTGCCATCAATTTTAACATTATTTTCATTTTTTTACGACTGTAGTCCGCAATATAAAAAACATTCTCATTGGTGTTTTTTTTTAAATATCTTCTTGCAGCTATCAGATCAAATACAAAATCTAACGGTATCGTCAACCACGTCCAATTTGGGAACACAGCAATCGACTGGTTCTACAAAAACTTCCGATAAAAGTGAAAAAAACTCGACAGCCAACAGTGCTGCAATCACCACGGCAAATAATTGTAATTTAAATTTGACGAATAATTCAAAAGACACAACTGCATCGGACGTTAATTCAGCGAACGAAAGCTTGGCACAACGTGTCAAATTCCTTCAAACAAAATTGGCTCACGCTCCTATGCCAAGTATAACATCAAAACGTCGGCAGTTGCCTTCGATTGAAGAGGCCTGGAACTTACCAATCTCGGCCGAAATGAGTTCACGACAACAGCAAACCGCTCAAAGCAATCAACAACGTGCCTATGCTAAAAATTACAATCATGTAAGTACATCATCATTCATCATCATCATCACAATCCCAATCGATAATAATAATATTTCTGTTTCTTCGTCGTTCGAAAATCATATGAGAAAAAAAGGAAGTCAATTACACCAATTCCATAGCAATAAATAATTGATTGTATTGCACGCTTGTTTGCAACATACATACATCAGCCATTGTGTCACAACTTGATTTCGAAACGAAACAAATTCTTTTTTTTTCTTCTCTTCCATTCTGTTTGTCAGCGCGACATGTATCGATTTTCGTAATTCCCATTATACCGCATAGAAACACAAAACGTAATACATAAAATGAACGTAGTGTGCTGACAATGTAAGTGCACATACAGTCGTCTCGCTCAAACATATACGTTCAGTGTATTCTTCACATAGTAAGCATTTTTCGTTGCTGCTCGTTTGCGTTTCTTCTTTTTTGGTTCAATGTACGTTGATGCGTGCGTCGACGTGCCGCAATAACCGCATCCGTTGAACAGCACAGCAGATGATTTGAACGTCTGCGATTTTTTGTTCATATTCAGTTTTATTCATTACCGGCAGACAGACGTATTTTTCGCATTTCGGTCGGCACAAAATTTTTTTTTTTGTGCCAACGTTTTCTTTTCTTCTTTGGTTCTTTTTATTCACAATTTTTGTTTTATAAATTCAATTGGTTCCTTTGAGTTTTTTTTCTTCTTTTGAAAATCTGCCACATTTTCTGTGAAGAAAAATCATCATGGAAAGGTAATTGAAAATAGTTTGAATTGGAGTTTTTTCTTAGTTTTTTTAAGTTTTTGTTCGGTGTGTCGTTGGCCTTGTATGCCAAATTTGAGGTTAGGAGTGGTGAACGACCACATGTTCACCCACGTTTTTCTTTCGCCTATTCCACGTCGAAATCATTCATTCAAATGTCTTTTGATTGAAAAACAATGTCTAAGATTTACTTTTTTTGGGGGGCTTTTCTACGCAACATTTGTTCGGTGTTTTTCAACTTTTTTCAATTTTTTTTTCTTTCTGTAATTAAATTTATTCTCTGATTGAACGTAAATCAATATTTTTATGAAATAAACTAAATAAAAGACATTTTCATTGCACTTCAGGTCCCGACAGCACCTCCACCATATCCAAATCCGCAAGGCAACAATGGTGCGATCCCGGCCAAACGGTATAAAGGCGATGAAAATGCGCCAAACCGACCGATGCCGAATCAAGTTCCACCACCTTCATTCTACCTGAACCAACAGCAAATGCATTTGTTGCAAAATCTACAAAAAAATAAGGACACTTTAAGTCCGCAGCAATTGGGCATGCTCAATCAATTGATTCAAAACTATCGAATGATGCAACAACACCAAATGCGCTATCAGCAACAGCAGCAACAGCAACTGCAACAACAACAGCAACAGCAAATGCAGATGCCACCACAACAACAACAACAAATCACATCACCAAATATGCAACAAGCCTATCCGCAGACCATGCCTAGCAGCCAAAATGGTATGTACCATACATAACCTAACATTTTAACTTAGATCACACATGTGATCGGAAATGATCTTCTTCAGTGAAAAGGTTTGAACTACAACAAAAACATTTGATTTTATTATCTCTAATTAGTTATGCTGCCGATGCAAATGCAACAGACCAAAAACGATGACATTCAAGCAATTTTATCGCAAAATGATTCAAAGACAATGCTTGCCGAGAATTTGCTGAAGCAATTCGGTTCGACGGTAAAACAAGAAATCGACGATGATCGAAATGCGGTTGTGGCCGACTCAACGACAAATTTCAACAGTCAACGGCCCATCAAATGTGAAGCGACTTCAACGAGCAGGAGGTCACCGAACGATTTGAAAAATGAACCCGTTTTGAAAATCGAAAACATTTACGAAACCAATCGAAAAGTCAAATTCAACATACAAATGACGTCAAAGCAACTACAAGAGGCTGTGAAGTAAGCATGATTTTATTTTTTTAAAATTTCAACGAATTTTTAATGATGATCTAAATAAACTTTCGTTCTCCTGAACGCAATGTGTTGAAAATTGTATTATGCTGATTTAACTTTTCATTTGAACATTCAATTGTTTTTTTTTGTGTATGCCATTTACTAATGAAGTATTCTCTTCGTTTGATTATAGGTCAATGGATAGCAAAGAACCACCGGCACCATGCTCAATACTATCGTATGATGCGCCGCCACCGTGTCCGCCCGATTGTCCGCCACAGCGCTTGACAAACGAACAATTAGTGCCTCCTACGCCATCTGTTCATTTGGATCATAAAAAACACGCCTTTTCGCCGCAACTCCAAGAGTTTTGCCTTAAACATCCGATTGCCGTTGTTCGCGGAATGGCAACCGTTTTAAAATTAGGTAATTACTTGAATTTTGTTCAGTATGCAAATAAATGGCACAGGTTTGTCACAAAATTATTTTATCCAAAGTAAAATGGACAATCGAAAAAATGTTCAATTCGATCGTTAAATTTTATTTTGGTAGATCAAACGCTAAATTGCACTCTGATATTCTGTCTCAATAGATTGATCGGAGCTATCTATTAGCAACATTTTCATATGGATTTTCACTTTGAATTTATGATTTGATAAAGATTTTTCATTCAATTTGACTAAATCACATCTTTTTTATTTTCTAACAGATTTGGGTCTATTCTCAACAAAAACATTGGTCGAAGCGAATCCAGATCACAGTGTTGAAGTACGAACACAGGTCCATCAATCGCCCGATGAAAACTGGGATAATACACAAGGCAAACGGGTTTGGGCCTGCATTTCACACCGTTCACACACAACAATCGCTAAATATGCCAACTATCAAGCATCCAGCTTCCAAGAGAGCTTAAAAGTACGTAAATTTGATAAAAGTATTTTTTAAAAAAATAGTTTCAAATGATGAATAAAACTAAATCTATTAACTTTCGTTCTACTGAAATGGACCATGTAGAGCCATTTATTCTGATACTTTCTCCAAAAAACAAAAATGTTTCATAAATCAGTCGAATTACGTTACTAATGTGAAAAAAATTACTTTTTAAATTGCAGGAAGAAAACTATGATAAAACGTCGGGCATTCACAATTTTAGTGATTCCGATTCCAAAGACTCATTGAACAGCAGTTCAAATGGCAAAAAGGTCAAGAGGGTGAAGAATGGAAATAAAATGCTGAGGTAAATGTTTTTATTAATTTTTCTCGTCTTTGCAACTGCGGCATTTTTCATAGCTAATTCAATGATACATATTTGAGTTGGCATGGCTAAAATGCCAGATTAAATTCTGAAGCTTTTCGCTAACACCATTCTGACTGCATTGAATGGAGTTTGATAGTAGGGCGTTCAACAAACCATTTTTTGTCTCCCTGAAAATTCTTTTTTCACTATGAAATGCAACGGAAATTAACCAATTTGTTAATCTCTTTGTCTCACCAGGTTTGGCACAAACGTTGATTTATCCGATGAACGGAAATGGCGACCGCAATTGCAAGAATTACAAAAATTACCGGCATTCGCACGTGTTGTATCTGCAGCGAATATGTTATCTCATGTGGGTCACGTCATATTGGGCATGAACACCGTTCAATTGTACATGAAAGTGCCGGGCTCACGAACACCAGGCCACCAAGAGAACAACAATTTCTGTTCGATAAATATCAATATTGGACCGGGCGATTGTGAATGGTTTGCCGTGCCCGATTCATATTGGGGTGGCATTCAAGCATTGTGCGAGAAAAACAATCTGAATTATTTGCACGGTTCATGGTGGCCGGTACTTGATGATCTCTACAAAGCAAATATTCCCGTTTATCGTTTCGTTCAACGGCCGGGCGATTTGGTGTGGGTGAATGCCGGTTGTGTGCATTGGGTACAAGCCATCGGATGGTGTAATAATATTGCTTGGAATGTTGGACCATTGACGGCCCGACAATATCAACTTGGCATCGAACGATACGAATGGAACAAACTCGAAAGCTACAAAAGCATCGTTCCAATGGTACATTTGAGCTGGAATTTGTCGCGCAATATTAAAGTATCCGATCCAAAACTATTCGATTTGATTAAGTGAGTAAATTGTCGGATTTTTTGGTTTTTTCATTGAATTTCAATGCCTTTGAATAAAGAGAAAAATTTAACTAATGAACCATTCTTGTTACAGAACATGCTTGATGCAAACAATAAGATTTGTTATGGCAACAATGGAATACGTCAAAGCAAAAGGAATCGAAATTCGATTTCATGGTCGCGGGAAAAATGAAGCGTCACATTATTGTGGACAGTGTGAGGTAAGAAACCAAGAAAATTTCTTTCACACACGATCGCGAACGATTGTAATCGTGGACGATTTTTTTCGAAATCGGTGAACAAATCGGTCGCCGATTATGAAAAACCCTTTGCCGATTAAGATCGTGAACGATCAAAATATCAAAGATATTTAGCTTTCTATAGATTTTTTGAATTAATTTCATTTAAATTCAGTCTTCAACCACTTTTAAATTCCAAATTAAATGGAGCAAAATTAGAGATTAGAAAAAATTGCTAATGATGTATATTTTCATTGCCAGGTTGAAGTGTTCAATATTCTCTTCATTCGTGAGCAAGAGAAACGGCATGTTGTTCATTGTTTGAGTTGTGCTCGTAAACAGGCACCAAACCTGCAAGGTTTCGTGTGTTTGGAGGAATATCGACTCAAAGATCTAATGGAGATCTATGACAAATTTGTGCTGTCAAAACCACCGCCGCCGCCGCTTCCAACTGTGCCACAAAACGCGTTGGCCGCCACCCAGTCGCAAAATCAACAAAAAGAGACGTCAGTCGCATCTTAAACATCATAATGTCGTAAACTCTGGCTAAAAATAACTAGCAAAAATAAGCAAATTTATTTCTCATATACATATAGTTCGTCAAGTTGTAACGATAACTTTTTTTTCTATGCAAGACACTGTCTAAAGACAGAGAAAATATTTAAATATTTTATTTATTTTTCCCCGTTTTTTTCATTTTCTTTTTCGTTTAATATTTGTCTATAAAAACCACAAATTTAGGGTGTAAGTATACATACACTAATATATATATATATATGCACTTTTAGTTGCAAAAATACATAAAATTTATGTTTAAATATTGTATATTGAATATTCATGTATATGAAATCGACATACAATTCGACCCCCGATACTAAATAATAAGAACGATTTTTTAAGAAAAAGAAGTATCCAAAATCGAATGTAGTACATAAGAAAAGTATCTCTATTATAATGACGAGGAGGTAAACTCAAAAGGCAAAAAGATTATTTAACAACAAAAAAAAAACACTTGTATCCATATACACATTTATAAAAGAAACCATCTTCAAATGCGGTTCAGCAAATTAGATTTTTAGGAATATAGATATTGTTACCGTATTACTTCGATTGTATTGATCGAGAAAAACACACACACACAAACACAAAACGTTTTAGATGTCACAAGTCGGATTTTAATATAAGTAAAAATAATGCGCGTATAGTAGCGCAACTGGCATTGCGTTTCGCATTTCGGCTCCGTTGAAGCTTTTTTTGCGGGAGTTTGATACATACATTTCTTTTTGTCTCATAATTAATTCAATCACCAAAAACAAAACGAAAATTCTCTCGACTTGAAATAGCTTCTACTTCTGTTTGATCTCACGACTTAACGAAGAGAACCGATTTGTTTCTGTCATTGTTCAAAGTGGCTTATATATCGATTCATTTATAAATTCACACAATTAATTCATTTTCAAAATTAAACAATTTGTTAAAAAAATGAAAAAAAAAAAAAATGAAAATTTATAGTTTTTAAAAAAGGCGTTTTAGTATGTGTGTTTAGTTAAAAACTAAACGAACTGTTTTGCGGTGCATAGAAAACCGAGTCGCAATGCGATCACCCATTTCTTCCTCTGAAACAATGGAGGAATTAACGGGATCATTTGTCGCGCTCGGTTATTAAATTTAAGTAGCAAAATATTTTTTGGCACGTAATATAAGCAAAATTTAAAAAAAAACCAACAAAAATTTTTTTGGTCGAACTTTTCAATTCTTTAAAAAATGAATCGAAATAAGCTAAAAATGAAAGAGGAAAAAACACAGAAAATAGAAACAAACGTGCTATTTTATTAGTAATCATTTAGATGGTAGAGCGAGGGAAGTCTGTGTAACGTAAGCGAGCGATATAGCAAGATTCTGTACAGACATCATTTGCGTCATATGCGTACACACTTTCAACACTTTTATCGTATTTTAATCAAATGAAATAGGTTAGGTATGGAAACAAACATTTATAATCGTGTAAAATAGTTGAAGATGCAAAGAATGAAATTGCAAATGAAATGAGAAAAAACCAGTATTCACTGCCAAATCTAACGAAAAAAGAATGGAATAGAAATCCAACTAAGTAAGCAATTTATAAGCATAGAAAATCATACAATTTACTTATTATTATTAAATGTATGATTCATCTTAGTTCAGAAGTGCAAAAATCATTCGAAAGAATCAACAATCGGGTATATTTTTCGATGATTTTTTTTTAGCATCATCGAGAAATGTTCGGAATGATTTTGGTTTAAGGAAATTTAAGTAAAATGAAGACACTTATGGTCTTTGTTTGTAGATTGATGTAAGAATGATTATAACAAAAAGGCGTCCGAATTTTCGACGACAACATATATTTAGAATAAATTTTCCGCAATTCAACGCAAATGACGATAAAATGCCGAAATGTGTGTACAACATGATTTACAGAAATAAAGAAAATCTTAAACAACACATATGTATGAAAAAATAAACATATTTTTTTTATTTCCATTTTTATTGTGGACATTTTAAACAATTGGGTATTTCAACAAGTTTTTTTTTCTTGACATTTTTTAGCCAACACATCTTTTTTGAGTACATTTTTTTCTGTTGCTTCCATTTTCATACATGTATAGCATCTAAAGGAAGGAGTTTTTTTTACTGCTAAAACCGAAACCGCGTCTTGCTTCGAGAAAGATCAACTTTTCGTTTGTATATACATTCTTATAAACGCACAAACACAATTCGATCTTATTCTGCGTAGAAACAATTTAATGGAAAACCTCCATGAATCGATGGTTTAAACACATACAATAATTAATAAAATACTCCAACAATTAACATCAATATCATAATCGAACATTTTCTACATCAAAATAAAACAAAAAATAAACAAAAGAAACACATATTTTTCGCTGTTTTATTCATAACGATGCATATTGAACAATTAAAATTACGAATATTATTGGGAATGATAGAGAGATCAATTGAATCAAATTAAATTATACATAGATACTTGAAAAAATTAATAATTATCAAAAAAATATCATCCCAAAAAAGTGAACTTCGTTTATCTTATAGAATATAAAACAAAATGAAAATCTGCGAGATTTTTTTGCTTTAAATTCTTAAAGATAACGTGATAACCGGCTATTTTGATAGGATTAATAAATTCGAATGCAATTCCAAATGGTTAACATAAAGTCAACAAAGCGAACTCGTATATTCCAATACGATCATTTTGCTGATCGTTTGGCATCGGAGAAAATTTTCTTGCGATCGGTAGTCGATTGACAAAAAAACTGTTGAATTGAGAACTTCAACCAAGAGAACATTTTTAAATACGTATATTTCCCACCCGAAAATAGAACGAGAAAATATTTAATTCACTTTTTTTTTAAAAGTCAAATATGTTCGGCAAAATTCATCATTTACCGTATAACAAAAGATCACAATCAACAAAAAAGAAATAAAAAAACGAAATATGCCACACATTTGCTTGTATGTGCCTTTTGAAAACCAGATACGCAGACTTTTCTCTCATTTTTTAGAGAACCAAAATCATAATCGAGAAATAAAAAACAAATAAAAAATTATTAAGTCTAATAATTGAAATTAGTCGAGAGCAAATTTGTTTGGCCACCCGAAGAAACACAGCGTATGTCATTGAAACCGAAAGATGAAGAAAATACACACAATAATAGACACCAAAAGGGAAAAAACGATATTTTCATATTGAAAGATTTTCATGCAATAAAATTAGACCTTAGAAATGGAAAACAGGACACAGTCAAAGAAACAAAGTCAAAATATTAATAAACACCGCCAATAGTAATAGCCAAAAGATATTGAATTGCACACAGTTCGATTATTTAGAACTAAAAACAAGTGGAGAATCGATTTTTTGAAGCATTCATTCGTTCATTTATTACCTGAATACTATATGAGTGAGAGACAAAAGCATATACCATTCATTGGGCTATTTTAATAACCAGAAAATACGAAGCAAATCATTTTTGTCAATGCGGTGACCGCCTATCAATTTATTTAATAACATAGGCGAATGCCGATATTATTGAATTATTGTACCCCCTTAGTTATGATTATTATATATTCAATCGCAACTAAATTAAATCGTCAGCACTTCATTACACTTAATTATGTAATTTTAATTCATTTTTTTATTATGGTATGGAATTAGCCTGAATTATTTTACCTTACTAGTTGCAAAATTGATAAATAATTGTAATTATACTGATTGGAAATTTATGTTTCACTCAGTTGATACCTGTATTTAATATTTTTAAGTAACATGTGAAATTCATAAGTTAAATTCGTTCATATATTCAATGGTGCATGTATAATGTGAGCAAAAATACCACAAAAAATTAATTGGAACATATAATTCGATAATTGCCGGCTTTGCCGCAAACAAAAATTGTAAAACATTTTAAGAAATGCATTCAAATCAATAAAATGTAACAAAAAAGAAATGAACAGGGACTTTTTTCTCATTTTCTTTTTCAATTTCGTTCCACAGTCATGTTTGAAGACCGCTTTTAGACAATTTCGCCAAATTCTGTTGATGGGTTATTCTCTCGGTTTGAAACAGTGAGTTGATTGATTTCCACTTCAGTTTGTTCTCTTGTCAATTTTGATTCTGAATAAATCGACGACGATCCTATTAGACTAGCACCATCACCTGAATCGCTGCTACTTTTTTCACTTTCAATAGTAACCTCTGCTTTTGACCCTTCTTCAAAATCGCTATCATTTTGAAAATTGCTCTTCGATGGTTCGTCTTTGGCTAAATCAATGGCCGTGTTATTATTTTCTTTGACAACCTTCTGGTCATCCTTTCCTCTTTTTCTCATCAACATGATTCGTTTTATAGTACAAAATGATAATGGGCCTTTCAAAGGCGGTTCGTCGCCTTCCATTTTCACTGCCTTGTCTCCTTCGCCTTTCTCTTTCGTCTCGATAATTTCGTCTTTCTTTGGTTCATCAATTGGTTTGGGTTTGGATCGTAGGCGTCTTCGAATACCTCTTTTAAATTTTTCTTGAAAGGTTTTTGGTTCTTCTGCATGCAGTTGACTCAACGAAAATTTACTTCCACGCCGCTCGTCATCCTGCCCAACAACCGAATTTCTTCGAATAAATGCACGGCATGACTTTGCACATCCGCCGACGATTTCTGAGAATAGCACACTTCCAGCTAAAATGTAACCAATTGCCATCAATAAAAACATTCCTTCTGTATCGGCAAGATTCAATTTTCGTTCGACTGCATCAATACTAATTGTCTTCGATTTTGTTGAATCGAAAAATTGCTGTGCGTCACTAAAAAGAAAACCACATCGAATGAATTCTGAAAAGTTTTACTTTTGAAAGGATGAATACCTCCGCTGTAAATCCCATGCCATATCATTCGCTATTTTCAAATTTAAACCACTTGCAGCATAACGTAGAATGGCTTCATTGAAAATATTTGCATAGACTGAATTTAGAGGGAATAACATCGAAACGCCTATAATAATTACAATGGTTAGAGTCAAGCACACATGTGTTTATTTGGAATATTTTACCGAATCTCGTAAAACATTGTTCACCGATGTGCAGCGCGGATTGTTTACCAAGTTCACTAGAAATGAAAGAGAAAATGGTCATTGCATTCTTAGTGACACAAATATGCGTTGGAACTTACGCCATTGACACATTGCTTCTGACAATATATTGTAGTTCCGCTCGAGATCCTAAAAACGCGTAACCCCAAAAGAATGCGTGTGTTACATTGCGCAAACCTTCTTCCACATCGTCAACATATTCCACATTTTTTAACAATTTTCTTGCTTCGGAGTCGCTTGAATTTGTGAACCAAAATTGCCAACCATCTCTGCCTTTAAAAAAAGATGAGTTGATATATTTTTTCGAACTTTCTTCCATAAATAATATATTATTTGAACACAAACTTAATGTTCCGATGCGATAAAATCCCCAAATCAAATCTTCAATTGTGTTGATTGTTTCTGGAATTACTGGCAACGTTACAAAAGCAATAATTGAGCCAGTATAACAAGCGGTGATTATAATGCTGAACACCCAGTAACAACCTAAAATCCATTAAGCACTGACATTTACAAGCGAAAAAATGAATATGAAAAATTAATCGATACCAACCAATCAGTATTCGTGTCGACGTTTTCTTCGTATTTGACCATGAAAACTCACCAGTAAATGTCAAACTGTTGGTAAACGTACCGAATACATACCAAAACATATTTTCAATTTCACCCCAGTTCCCTATCAGATGACTTAACGTAAGTCGGTCCGAAAATGCTAGCGGAAAAATCGCAAAAATGTATGTAAAAATGATTGCAATCCAAACGGTCCATTGAAATGGCCCCAAAATGGCACGATAACGGGGCAAGGATTTCGAAGATAATGTTAAAAATGCACCACAATCGAATGAATGCGGCAATGACATATCAACACGTTCCATTCTTTCAATTGACATAAACGCTCCAGCCAACCCAATGTCTGACAATTTAGATTCCACTAAATCAATAACGCTATACGTTCGACTGTGCGAATGGACGTAAAATTATAAAATTCAATCGCTCTTAACAGTTTTTAAAAAAATAAACAGAAATAAAAGATTGAGAAGTTAACTGAATATACCCGAGTTCATTTTCGATTGATGGTTCCATTAGTTGAAAACTAAAATTAAGACGGCTAGACATCAGCTTCAGCAACCGATATTCATAGCCGTCCCATTCGATTCTTGTATTTCCAGCGATATCAGTTGAAAGCGTCTTTAGTATAAAAGGCGGCTGAGAGATACTTGCCACCTGAAAATTCATGAAAAAATGAAAGAAAAATGCGAAACTATTGTAAAACGTTAGAAAATATAAGCGGAAGTTACCATGAAGCGATGTGCAGAAAAGCCACTTGAAAATTTCTTTTTTGGAAAAAGATTGACTTTTGGACGAGATAATTTGCCTTTTAGCCATGACGTTAATACCTGATGATAATAAAATAATGGCACTTAACAATAAAATTCAAAATGTAAATTCCAATGGCATACCAGAGGTTGATTTGATCCCAAGCCGTCTGTATCAAATATTAAAAGAGTGAAAAATTCTATATGAAATCTAATTTTCTTAGCACAAACCTGTATACAATTTATGTGTGTACAATACGTATGGCCTGTCCTATTGATTGTGAAAGTAAATTAAGTTAGTCAAATAATCTATCAAAAAATGTGAAATTGAACTACTTTCGACGGATCGGACGAGAGAGACTCCGAAATCACAAGCAAATTCACTAAATCACTGGCGTATTTGGATGATAAAAATTCTTGAAGTTTCCATTGGGAAGAACGTGGAATCAAAACAACACGGTTCACTGTTTGTGGACCCAATACGTCACGCGTTCGCAACACATCCGAAATAAACAAAATGTAGCTGCGACAACTTTTATCGTACGGTTGAAGTAACTCTTGATTCACAACGGTGTAATTTTTACTAATCATTCCATGCAAATAAGAGATTTTGATTGCCTAATTTTTTTTTATTTGAGCATAAAATAAAAATCACGAAAGATTTGCAAAATTTTACTTTTTGGAAAATGATTTTAGCGAAAAACTGAATCTATAACCAAATTTTGACGATCAAACCTACTTTGAAAAATGTCTCCAGTAGGATGCTGTCAATTTCACGAAAATAATGGTCATAAAGTACGATTGGAACGCATGCATTCAAGTATTTATCCATAACTTTGGACAGGAGATTGACCAACGATTGTGCCTGCTCCTGTTGGAAAAATGTTTGATTCAGATTGAAACTGGAATACCATCGTTCTTCTCTCGTTTTTGGATGGCCGTAGAACGTTGTATCATCACTTCGTTTTATTCGACGATAGATGTAATCACTCATATTCATTGAATAATCACGATAATATCGTTTAGCAACTCTAAACTTATCATTTCTCAAATAATTCTCCGGAGTATTTCCATCGTCGCGTTGAGAAGTAACGATAAAATCGTTACCATAATGAAACGATGTGGATACTCCAGTGAAAAAACCGAAAGCGGCGGAAACTACGATTGAAATTAACACTTTCTTTCGAATGTACATCCTGAATGTGACTGCAAGACGTTGATTATGTTATCCTTCTTATATACCGACATTTATTATTCCATAAGAAAATTGAATGAACTAATTCACTCGAATTGATTCGGAAATAATTTATGAATGCCAGCTTATCGAGTATTCCCGAGTATTCCGTAGACAGCAACAGGAAATTTAATATGGTTTGATATTTCAATTCCATTCCAAGTAATAAAAATTCCAAATTGATATTAAATATTAAGTTCAGTGCTTGCTTGTTTTGTTTTCATCATAAAAAAATAAAATCAAATTGTGGTATATTTTCTATCGCTTGGTGTATCATATGTATGCCAGATCGCGTGAAGAATGTCCAAAATACACATATTTATGTCTTAATGATTTTTGCCGAAATCGATTTCATTTTTAAGTGAAAACACGTAAACGTTTTATTTGAGATTTGAGGAGATAAAGTTTCAGTGACACACATTTTCGGTACAAAATAATCCTTGGAATAATGTTTTCTTTAATCTAAATGTTTTCTCATATTTACGGATGTGAAACTGTTTATTTTAAGTTATTTTAACCGTAATAAATTACGGTTCTTTTTATCAATTCGACGCCGTGCACAACAAGTGGGTCTTTGTCCGGAATTTTACGAAAAGATCTTGGTCTGAAGGCCTATAAAGTCCAGTTGGTACAGGAACTGAAGTGGCATAACCATCCAACGCGCCGCACATTCGTCGGTTGGGCCCTGCAGAAGCTCCAAAATGATACGGAAATATACCAAAAAATCATCTTTTTCGACGAAGCCCACTTTTGGTTAAATTACTGGCCTGTGTAAAACGTAGCTGTGGAGACCGTTACCCAAAATTATCTTTAAAACAAAATTGCCATTATTATATCAACCAAATAAAGTCGATTTCATGATTAAATTAAAACTGGTTTATGATTTATTTTAAGTTAAAGATCTATCAGACGAAAAAAAAACCCTTTAGAACTCAAGAGAACTTACGCGAACTTGTGAAACTTACAGATACTTATGAACTTACAACGCGTAATTTTCCCCTAGGAAATTATACCTTTCTTAAAGAAACATGTTCAATTGCATAGTTTGATCTCTTCATCGTCGAAAGCATTCAACATTCAAGTTCAACATCATTTATAATTTTCATTTTTAATATTATCAAAATATATACGATACTTTGAAAATCGACTAGCTTATTCCAAACTCATCTTGCAAACATTGAATTATAAAATGTCAACACAATTGAAAAAAATTATTAAAATTGAAGTACTCAACTCTTGAATAAAAAAAATAATACTGAAAACACATTTTTATTTTCCATCCAATTAAAAAAAGTCAAGTGTTTTATAATACATTTTAGTTGTTATTTCGCCGATGAATTGCAGATCTAAAATTCGGAATGTCATTAAAAAAATTTAAATTATAAAATTCGTAAAGAATTACGCATATCAATTTGTCACACGTGGAAAGTTCTTACGAAAATTGTGTATATAACTTGGTTTTGCATCCAATAAGCTTCATTTAATTTTCAATTACAGTAATATTCAAAGTGATAATATCAAGTGGAGAAAAATGAGGGTGTTTTTATTTCTTACATTTTTGTCACTTGCGCTTTGTGTTCAGGTATGACTTTCATCTATCGTATGAAAACGTAGCAATATAGCTCGTTTAAAGTCAATACGACTATTAGAAGAATTAACGCTTCGTCCTCACTCGGCATATCTTCACTGCTTAGGCGAATATCAGCAGTAGAATTCACTGCGACATGGTCAAAAAACATCAAGCAGCCATATGTGAATGTTTCACTCTCTTTTGTGCGAACGTTCTTTGACTGTGTATGGCTGTGAGCAAACACATGCATTAGAGCATTAGATGCACGACAGTTCGCAGTGAACTCAACGGCTGATATTCCGTAAAGCAGCGATGATGTGCCGAGTATACACGAAGCGTGAATTGTTCTAATACGCGTAACTGAAGTCGTATTGGCTTTAAACGAGAGATATTTGAAGATTACTAAAAGATGATGACATTTGAATCGAAACCTTTGATTTTCTCTCTCTAAATACCCCCATCAAGTTTACCAATGGCAACGGAAGTATCACATTCAGTAAGCTATTGAATACATTCTGTGCTAAAGTTGCGAATAAAAACTTTTTGATGAGACCAAAGGTTGAACCATTGTTCAAGATTACCACCGAAGCAAATATCAAAGCATTAAAAGCCAAATTCAGTGCAGCCGTTGTTGATTTGGATGTATCAAAAAAAGATCAGATTTTGGCCAAGATTCCAAAAAATATGAACATTGGTGGTTTCAACACTCATGACTTTTTCGAAGAAGGGATCAATGCTATTGTAAAAGGACAAACTGAAACTCTTAAAAGCTTGAATGCCAAAATTTTATCGCAACTCAACTCCGAATCAATCGATGACGTCAATTTTGTTAATACGTTCACAAAATGGGCAACCGTTTTAATTATAGATCCTAAGCTTGCACTACGAGTCCAGGATAATATACCCACTATGGAATCGGACTATAAGTCATTGCATGACCAATTTGACGAACAAGTAAAAATATCAAATGAGTTGAGAAAAAAATTCGACAAAGATTTTCAAGCAGCAGTTGCGCAATTTAATAGCATTCTTAGTGAAAAGAACCCAAAAGCATTGGAGAAAATTCTTAAAGAACTTGAACCATTAATTGTAAAATTATTCACACAACAAGGTGAAATCTTTCACAATCTTGATACTTTGAGTAATGTTCTAGAAGATTATAGCAGTCAACGTGTTGCATGGGCCAAGTTTCTAATTGGAATGGTAGATAATCATAGTTTAAAGGATAAATCAGCAAAACCAAAGAGAAAACCACTTACAAAAGCACCTATCGATGCAAAAAGACCTCCATGGAAGCCAGCTGGACATAGAACTACTTGAAAAATTGTCACCGTTTCGATAGAAATTTAACGCCTTATCCAAATCGAAAGGCTTCAACAGAAGCATGTATAAATGAAATACACAGAAAAAAATAAAGATTAAGATCTAAAGCGCATTTCTTTTCAATTCAAAACAAAATATTTCAGCAACGTTCAAGAGTTCAGTAATAATTTTTTACGTAAAACAGATCAAATACAAATGAAAATGCGGCCAATTATTTTTTTTATATAAAATTACGTGTTCATTGACATACTTATGTTTTCTTCAAAAGATGTTTTGTATTATAGCTTAATGACAGATTTCGCTTAAATGAATTGTGGAAAACGATTAAAAATAATCTGCTAAAATTTGCAAATTAGCTTAAAATCAAATTAATTTATACGTTTACATCGATGATAATAATAGTTCACAATCATGCTTCCAAACCACACGCACGCACATTTATAGAACATATAGGCTCACTTAATTAAATTGATTAACTTCTATGGATTTTTTTTCCACTAACTATTGAATAATTTCTAAACGTTCGACGAAAAGTATACATTTTTCGCGGCAAACATCTCAACAGAGAAGTGCCAAAAAAATGGTTCGATTAAACGTAATTAAATTAAGACAAAGAAATTGATTTGAAGTGTGAAAAATTGAAATTAAATTAATGTCACTAGTTTTGTATAAATTTTTTCCAAAAAGAAACCGATCTTTTGCTTCTTTTATTCTTTATCTCATGCTACAACAACAAGATTTCATGCATCATGTAAACGAAAAGAAAAACAGCGTTTTTATTTATTTTTTTCATTACTATTTGCCATCCAACTAAGTTCAGACTTTCATTTGGCAAAAATCCTACAAAAACAAGTCGTGTGTTGACACTGCATTTAGAAGTGTAAAAGATTTTTATTGTGATTTTTCAATCATTTCCAAAATGCAGCGAAAATGCTGAAAATCAAAGACGATCTTAACGACATTTAACTTTCTACAAAATAGACTCTTGCAAATACAAATATTCCGAATGCGCATCTGCAAATCTGTTTTCTGCGTCATTTAAGCCAATATCATGAAGTGCACATGTTATGTTTCTGTTAAGATGGACAGAATCGATTTAATTTTAAAAAAAGACGATTCGATTGAAAACCCGATTCAGTTCAAAAATCATCGAAATTAGTAAAAGTCGTCATTTGCGCTTCATAATGTTGGCTTAAAGCTTGTCGATTGTGTAAGTATGTTAACCCCTTACAGCAGCTTCAAGACATGTGAAAAGACTTATGTTTTCATTTTAAGTTTTAGTTTTTTTTTTTCATATGTTGATGTTCCTGACATCGCTAATAACTAGAAGAAATTTGTTTTTTTCTTGCTTTCCAACATACTTTTTATCATTCATATAAACTTCTCTTGGCATTTGCGTTATGCACTCTCACCCATCGTTTTATTTTTCTATTTTGTCTTGTTTGCTCATTCTCTATATTGATTTTGTCATTCTATTTGCTAACTTGTTTAGTTTTCTATTGGTAATAAATTGTTGCCGCTTGATATGCATGCGAGTGCATGCAGCAGCAACAACAAAAGAAAATATCGACGAATTTTATTGCACTGCATTGTGGATTGATTGGTTTATTCATTTGAGTGGTTTTTTGTTGCAGTAAAACAAAATATGCTTACCACGATTCAACACTCGCTTGCACGCACACACACTTCGAATGCATGTGGCTTTGAAAGCTTTATGTGTTAATCGGGTAATTGACGTTAAACATTCTTGTTTCACTTGATTGTAGCTTTACACGCTGTATGATGAAAGTGTATTTTGTTCTCTATGCTATTTATATGTCACAATAATTCAAATTCAAAAAAAAGTCAAAATAGAACACGCAAAAAGGGCGAAAAAAAACTTAAAATAGAAATTGTTTCGGAAGGTGGAAAACTTAATTTTTTTTAATAAAAAAAAAAACGAAGAAATCGTAAGGAAAAATTATAAAAATCGAAACTCGGTTAGGCAGTATGTGCTACTGAGCAGGAATAAAATCATACAGAAAATGGATTTTGAAAAATAACGTTGGATTTTGGAAGAAAAAAAAATTGGGTTTTGAATGTGCTTCCTAATCGTGAGAAAGGCTGGTAGTTTTGAAGAAGTACATAATATCACATATCTATAAAATAAATTAATTACTCAACTTATTTTCTTATGCTTTATATTTTCATTCATATTTTTTTCTCGATTTTTCGTTTCTTTTCTAATCTCCTTCAACAAAAAAATACAACTCTCATTTATTCGACTCTTGTAATTGATTTCGACGAAAAATAAATTAAAAATACAAATTTTGTGCGCTAAAATATCTGAGTATTCGATTGTGTTTCAAACAAAATTATTATTATTTTTTTTTCTCATCGAATTTCATTGCGGCCTCGTTAAATTCTAATGCAAAATAATGACAATGATCTGGGACTGTTTACTCTCTGTTTCTTCTGTATTTTGTTTATTTTTTTGTTGTTGTTGTGGCTTTTCAAATTCAGACTTTGAATTCGATTTTTAAAAACAAAAAAAAAATAATTTAAATTAATGGGTACGCAGTCTAAATGAAAAAAACAATTCGTGTGACAGTGTCTATTCATCGATATCATTATCGACGCGTGATGATCGAATGCCACTTTTACCGGTCCATGGATAGATCTCTGGGCATGGTTGACACGTTCGCATATATCGTACACCAGACTTATGCCATAAATTACACACTTTTGGATTGTTACAACGTTTTGGCCGATCTTGGTAATTACATTGGAACGGTTGGAAAGAATTCATGCGCGATAACGGCGTCGGATCGCGCACCCATTGCAATCCCTGCCAATTGGTCACAATCCATACATCGTTCATTGCATTGATTGTGTCTAAGAATTTGATAAAACCTTCTTTGTGATGGGGCTGAGTGAACCAGGCAGCATGGTAGAATAGACCGAATGGAGCTCTGCAAAAAGAATACGCATAAATCATAAATTGAAATTTTGAAGATTTTGAGCTCATACCTGTTGGTGGTGTAATGTCGCTCAAAGTTTTTCATAATCATTTTAACCACACCATCAGCATCGGGTGGATTCGAGCATGCATCACCCATTGAACAACGACCGCCATTCAAATCTTGCCACATCACCATTGGCACTTGCCATACACCTAAAAGAAATTCCGTATTAAAATCGGATCCATTTTAGTTTCAGTTTTAATCGAAGATTTCATCACAAATGAAAATGTTTTGAAAGTCAAGACAAACCTGGATAGCTCTTCGTTGGACATGGTGGAATCATGCAATCGTGGAATATTTTGTAGTCCAATGTATATGGCCAGCTTGGTGGTCGATTCTCATACACTGGCATCGATGAGTCATAGGTAAAGTTTGAGTCGTACAACATTTTAAACATTTTATTTCCGCCGATCGATAAGAACGGTGCTCGCATTCCTCGTACATCGTTCAATTTAACGCCACCGTAAGCGGCGAGAATTTCACGTTGGCCGGCAACTTCTCTGGTCCATTTCTTCTGGGAGAATTGTTCTCCAAAACTATGTCTGTATTTCCAAACGCAAAAAAAGTCGATTAGTTTAGAATTAATTTTCGTTTGAATTTGAGAAATGAAATTGCTTTTCCAGACTGGAATTCAGTGAAGCGATACTAATTGTGTAGTTTGTTAATTGCTGGTTAGTTTTTGGTGTGTGGAAATTTGTGTGTGGAATGTGTGATTGTGTGTTTGATTAGTTAGAAAAAGGGGTTATAAATTGGCATGAAGAAGAAGAAGAAGTAGAAACGATGTATTATGTAAGGTGTCGAATATATCAAGTGTATCAATAAGTTTGTGTTTCGTGTGATATGTGTGTCTTGTGTTGAAATATAGTAGAAAGAAATGAGGCGTCGAAGCGTGTGTTTGGTGTGCGTCTTGGAATTCGCGCGATTAAAAAAAATTAAAAAAAAAAAAGACTTACGATACAGTGTGTGATGCCATTTCGTGGCCGTCAGAGTACAAATTTTGTACTTGTGAGTAATCGGTCCATTCGTGTGAAACATAGAATGTGGCTGAAATTGGGCATCCATTTGGATTGACGCGTCCCTTACCAAATAAATCCGAATACAGTTGCTTATTCAAATCATTCACCGAATCGTCGAATGTCAATAAAATGATTTGTGGAACATCTTCAACAGGCAAATCACCTGTATATGCGTTCGGGGTGTTTTTTTAGTTGTGTGTTTGAGTGAGTGTCGGGTTTCAAGTCAGATAGGGAATTGTTTATTTTGATTTTGAATAACAGGAAGTTGGGTTAAAGGCACATGAAATTAAATAAAATATCAATTCGATTTTATTTAGATTTGAACAAGTTGAAACGAAATATTAAAGTAAAAAATATAGATTAATATTAATATTTAATCATCAGCTTATGAAATAATTCTCAGAAGTGTTTAAAAAAAAAGTCGAGAGAAAACAGATCGAAGAACAAGAAGATGAGATTGGAACCCATTAGAATATTGACGCAAAATGGCATGAAATTTGGTTATAAATTGGCATAGGAGATTGTGGATCAAAGTATCGCATCAATTTTTCTTTCCATAGTTTTTGTTTTACTTACGACACAGTGTGCGATGCCATCTCATGACCATCGTGATACAAATTTTGCACTTGCGAATAATCGGTCCATTCGTGCGACACGTAAAATGTCGCCGTTATTGGACAACCATTTGGATTCGTGCGACCGCGTTCAAATAGATCAACGTAAATCTCTTTATTAATATCATTCACGGCATCATCAAATGTTAATAGCACTATTTGCGGCGTTTGATGTGCTGGTATTCCTCCTAATTATTGCAATTTTATGAAAGTGTTCAATTTTAAATTATTTGACACAGGCTAACATAATTATGACTATTTGACAAATTCGGTCAAGTTGAAGAAGGTCAGATAATTACATTATTTCTCAATAATTGAAAAATTCATCAAAAATTGGAATTTCCCATTTTGAGATGCAGATTTTGAAATGAGTTTTTGAAGGGAACATTTTCGATGACATTTTTTCAATGTTCTTTGCAAATAAGAATCACAATTTGTGATACTAAAACTTACTTTCGCTGAATTATAAAAGTAATATTAAAAGATTGTAAGAAATCGAGAGAAAATTAAATCAGTATCTTACCCGGAATATCTCTACCACCACAGTAGCAATCGGGCAGCAAACAAACATCTTTGCGACATTTGGCAGCTGTTTTGTCGGGAATTGGTTGCGGATACAATGGTTCGGGACGTGTTGGTGGATTTCGATAGATATCAACAAATTCGGTTGCTTTGGATACAATTGCTCCAGATGGTTTCAACGTTGGCCGTTGACGTCTTTTTTGAAAATAAAAGAGATTTTTTTACAAATTCCTCATTGATATACGTGATCAATTTTTCATTGAATTTTTTTTCTATCTGAAAACTTGTAGACTTTCATTTGAGGCATCTCATCATTTTTGAAGCAAAAAATTGAATGAAATGAATTTAACTTACGGTGGATGAGTGCCTCGATTTGCAGTTGGTCCGGATGATGTGCGATCATCATATCCGCCAGCTGTATAATGTGAGCTTCCGCGATTCCTATTATTTGTTCTGTATCAATTTAAATCAAAACAAAAAGATTAAAAACCGAACACAAGGTAATTTCTTCAAAAAAAGCTAGAAAAATTGTTTGGAAGAGAAGAATTTGAAGAACGATTTCTTTTTTCTTTAAATAAATAAACCAAATCACCAAAAAGTGCAAGCAAAGTTTAGTAAACAATAATTAGATTACAAATTAAACTAATTCTACTTAAGTAACAAATACAGATAAACCCCAAAAATTACCCAAATTATACAAAATCAGTTGAATGAGATGAAACTTATGTTAGTAATACAATAATTTTGACAAAAAAAAAATAAGAAAAATATAAGTTGTTTTGTAAATTGATAAAACGTTGATTTATATTTGTTTTCGGAATCAATAAGAACAAGTGAATCGGTGCAAGGAATAAAGGCTTATATTTTTCGTCGAATTTCAGATGTACGATTTCGATGCGTATGCGAGTGTAAAATGATCAGTTACAATGAAGAACTAGGATTAAAGGAGAGGAGACATTTGCATGACAGAAATGATGTTTTGATGAGGAGGACAGATGTATTTTTTTTATTTAAGAATTTTCTCCAGCCGCGCACAGCCGCCGTTCTTCTTATCTGATCTCATACTGAAATTCGGTGTTGCTTTTATTGTTGAAAAAGTGTAAACACTTTTACATTTGAAACTTAGTAAAAACAAATTTTGAACGGTGCAAAATAAAAATCCAATTGAAAGCTGTTGAATTTTTCGGTGCTGAGAAATAAAAATGCGTTAATTCGAATAAAAAAATAAACAAAACAAATTTTAAAAAAACAACCATGAACACGAATATTATGTAGTAAATAAAATCGTAAAGACAAGTGCAGAATGCGAGTCGAAATTGAAGTTTCGATTCGAAAAATTGAATTATTGTAAGAAATCGTCGATAAAATATTGATTTTTTTAAAAAAAAGATTTAAATTGAGAGTGTGTGTATTTGTGTGTGGTGGGGTGGTTAGAATTGAAACTTATCTTGTTACACATAAACAAAATATATAGTAAACAAAGAAAAGTAAATTGGTTGTGGAGCCATTTAGTTCTGGTTCACAACGAAACAAAAAGTTTTTTTTTTAAAAAAAGACAAGTAAAGATGAGAATGAAATCAAGAGAGAGTGTATTTTTTCTTCTCTTCTCAAAAATGTTCTTTTGAGAATGATAGATTAATGCAAAAACAAAAAAACAAAACAATATTTTTTTTGAGTTGATGTGGATTTGTGTGCGATTCTTTAATGTGTTGGAAATATACCTCGACGGTATTTCGTTGCACTTGGCATCGATACATTTGACAATTGGAGTCGTGGAATGATGATGGAAACGTAGAGCTGGTGTTGTATGCGCATTCATGCGACGTGTTGTTGTTGTGGTGCCTCCACTGCCGCCGCCACCGGCAATCGTTGTTTTGATCGCTGGATTGACACGTGATGCGCGCGGCGGGAGCGTATTTACGGAATTTGTTGTACTCTGGGATTTTTGTGTTGTCGTTGTGCTACTACTACTTGTCAAACGCGTTTGTGTCGAGGTCATGTGACCATTATCATTTGTTCGAATGGTTGTGCTTGTCATTGGGTCAAATACAGTCAACGGTACAAAAGTCAAATTACGTAGAAAATGTTGTGTTGTCGTTGATGGCGTTTCATAGTCAATTTGATTACGTTCTTGTGTCTCACTTGTTAAATCGATATCGGTGGCAAATTTACGCGTTGCAACACTATTTTTGGTCGTTGTTTCAAATTGATATTCGGATTCGACATCTTTTTCAGCTTCACTTTCGAGCTGTTTGAGCCGTGCTTTTATCTCCGATTCGGTTGGTACATTGAACTCTGGCATTTCAACGGTTGCACGGAATTTTTCACGTTGTTCCGGTTGCAATTCGGTTGACGATGATATTGGCTCATCTGTATCGGACATCAATGTTAAAATGTCATCGGTTTCTTCGGGAATTTCGGTACCATGTTTTGCACCATCTTTTATATAATCTTCGAGTGTTGTATGTTGTTGCTTTGACTCCTGTTCTTCGCCATCCTTAACAATTGCATATTTTGTGCTATCTCTTATATAATCACCTAAATTGTGTTCAACCACACTTTCCTGTTCCTCTTCGTCTTTGACATGACGATAATTTGAATAATAACGTGTCGGTGCAACACCATTCGATAAAACGGTGTATTTCACGGTCGCACCATCATCATCGACCATAAATTCAATGTTCTTTCCTTTTGACGGTCGAATCAAGGTTTCTTCTTCATTTGCCGAAAAGTGTAAATTGGGTAGTTTTGTGGTTGGCCGTGATCCTTTCTGTGTTTTTCCTCGATGATTTTTGATCGATTGTTCCACTTTTTGTTCGTTCGATAGAACATTTTCTAATGTTTTCATAAAATTACTATTTTTCATTGTGTCCAATTCTGGATCGTCTTCGTTTAGCTCTTGCACACTGGGATTTAAGATGACCGGTGTCAGTCCGCCGGCTGAATTATTAAGTTTCTTTTTCGATCGCATCCGTACTACCTTTCGGTAGTGCTCTCTTCCGCCTTGCGATGGAAACGATGGTGGTCGTCCGTCTTGGAACAATGGTGGAAATTGTGAAAACCCAGATGGTGTCGAAGCACCGCGCGGCCCTTGATTTGGATATAGAGAAAATTGTGGAGTTGATGTTGTTATCGAAATTGGAGTCGTCGTTTGATAGGGTGGAAAATTTTCATTTGGCAACGAATTCGATATGCTCGACTGTTGAATGTAATTTTCATAATTTGATTTCTGTGGGAAAGATGTTGTAATGGAAATGATCGGTTTTTCGGTGGTAATATCAATTGGTCTGCTGGTTGGTTTCATCGGCCTAAATCGTTCATCGTTTGGCAAAATTTTTATGCCAACCGGTGGATAATTCGATGATGAAATCGGCGTCCAATCGAATGGCTGCTGAGTTGATGAAACCGTTGGAAAATTGGTTGTTATTGAAATTGGCGTCGTGCTTGACGATGACGAGAATGGTGTATAGGAAACGGATGGCTTTTGTGTTGATGATACATAATTGTTTTGAGTATTATTTTTTGGCGGCGCTGTAATAATGTAGTAACTTCGGAAGAAGCTGGTCGAAGATGGTGGAGGTGCTTTTGTTGTGGTCGTCGTTGTTGTTGTTGTGGTAGTGGATGTACTACTCGAAATTGGATTCGATTGACTATTAAAACTCGATTGAATATTATTCTTTCCAATGGTAATACTGTACGATCCAAGCGATGGTCGATACTGTGTTGGTTTGATGTCTTCCAAAATGGTTTGTAAACTTGCATACGGTGACACCGGTGGTTTTGGAGTTGTGGTATCGAATGTTCGATTCAATCGTTCACGGAATTTAAGCGATGGAAATTTCGTGGGTTTTCGATTTGAATGCTTCGACGGTCGTTCATAATCCTTGTCTCCATCAAATGTGAATGAAAACTTCGAAACGGTTTTTGAAGTTGGCGTCACCGCGTCATGGTGTGAATTCGATTCCAAATCTCTTGTCCGATTAATGGGCTGTCCAAAGATGACTTTCTTCATATCTTCCGGTGCAACGGCATTGACCACCGTATTGAATACCTCTGATCCGGGTAACGTTGGTTTCTTCAAATATTGAATTTTCCAATTGCGCAACGGTGAATATGTGGTCGGTACGATAATTTCATGTTTCAATGGTGTAATTGAATTTTGATGAATTGAATTTGGTGTCGAATTAATGGAATTAGTCGATTGTGGTTTTCTCACATATAAAGGAATATTTTCCGATTCTGCATGACTTGCATGCTGATAATTATCGGTTGATTGTTCATGATCATAGTCTGAATCGATGGTGGTGGTGCGATTTTTATGTGCACGTTTTCCACCGGCAACACCGGTTGTCAGAACAAAACGATATGTATCATTTGGTGATGGCAAACGTGCGCCCGGTATATGAATGGCCGCTATTGGCTGAGATAATTCGGTTTGCTTATTTGGTAATGTGGTAATAACATGGGATTTTGGTGTGGATTGAATGAATAGTGACGATTGGCTATTTACAAAAGCATTTACTAAATCTTTTTCAGATGATGATAATGGTTTTGTGCTGACGATATGTGTTGTCGCCGACGTTTTACTTGGTGCTTGAAAACTTTGCGGCTGTATGTCGGACACAATAAAATCTAAATATTTTTTACGTTGATCTTGTTCATCGTTAACTTCTTCATTATTATTGATCGTCGATGTTGTGGATGGTTTTGAATTTTTAATTGCAACGTTCGATTGTTGTCGATAGGTTTTGGTCGATATTGGTTCTTGTTCGCCATAATTTAAGTACGTTTTATGCGTTCGATTTGCATGATTATTATTATTTAAAATTTTGTCAAAGTTATTGTTATTGTTATGATTGTTTTGGTTGTACCGAAAACCGGTCGTTAGTGTAAACGTTTGTGAATGGTCTGTGTCAGTGTTTTTGTTTGCGTCACGATTGTAATAGTTGTTATTTCTTGATTTACTTTGGGAGTTTTGGGAATGAATGATTGGATTTGGACTAGAATCGGGATAACGAGGTTTTTGATGGTTGTATTGTTGTTGTTTTTGTTGGTGGTGGTGGTGGTGGTGGTTTTGTGATTGAGTATTTGAGAAGGGATAACCCGCGCGTGTTCCTAATGTAAATTTTATTGTTTCGGATGACGACGTCCGATTTTTGGTGACATCACCTTCCGGTAATCTTGATCTGTTTGAAAATGGTAATAAAACACATTGTTTTTCTTTATTTGTAAAACCGTTCAACGACATTTTGTTTGAATGTTGTTTGATTTTGATTTTTTTATGTGTTTTTTGAAAATGAAAAAAAAAAATAATAGTTGAACAAAGTTATTATGAAAAAGATCCTCTTCGAAAAAAAAGAGACAGATAAAGAATTATTTTGAACATTCGCCACTAAAAATTTTCAAGCAGCATTTTGCAGCATCTTTCATTTAATGATTCTTTTCGTTATTCTTTGGTGCAATTCATGTATGGCAATGACACAAACGAATGATGACATGAATTGATGAGACCGATGATTTGATGGAATGTATGGGGGTGTATGAGAGATAGACAGAGAATGTCAATGGCAAAGCCCTCACAAAATTAATACGAAGAAATGATCACCGCTATTTTGGGGATGACACATTATTTCTGACCCTATCCAACTTCTTTACCGTTCGTTTTGTTCCAAACGATTCCATTCCGTGTACGCAATTGTATTAGCAAATGGTTATCGCGTACATCTACAATCCGGTTGTGTCGCGGTTTTTTTCGGGGGGATTTTTTATACAATGGAGATTAAACGATGAGATTCTAAAAAAATATATGTTTTTTTTTCTCACTACCATGCCAGTATAGATTGTATTAAACTTAAATGCTAGGTAAATTTTTAACTGATTTCCCAAAATGATCCAAACCAATAAAATACCAAAAAAATGCTTGAATTTAGCCAAAAAAAGAATTATGTTTATTGACTAGCATGGTATATGTAGTATGTCTTTCAAAAATCCCTGTTCTTTCTCTCGAACAGAAAAAAACAACAATCGAGATTATTCAAAGCAAAAACGTAGCGTAAATGGCAAACAAAATCACATGTGTAAGTGGAGTCCATCCATTGTTATTCAAACAAAAAAAAAACTATGCTCGCTAGCCCAACGACAGCAAGAGATTAGTAAACAAAATGATTGGCAAAGATTAAAAAAAAATGAAAGCGAAAAAGCGATGAAAAAAGCCTAACATTCAAGGAAAGTTGTAAAAAAGCGGAAATGAGACGATTACAATCACAATTGAATTGAAACACTTCTCACTTTGTTTGACAAATATCCAGCCATCATCAAGTGAAATTTCAGTTTTATTCATTTTATGAATGCAATCGATCATTTGCTTGCGAATTCGAAGCCGACACGAGATATGGTGTGTATGTATATTATGGTCACTCGAAATTTACGGCCAAGAAATGCAATTGAATAATGACAAAATGAGCGTTTCAATTCACAGTTACCATATGTGGGATCAAAGAGAGAGAAAAAAAAATGGTTTTTGGTATGGGTGTATGTTTGTGGAAGATGGAATTTGAGAATGAATTGCTGCACTGCAATTTGCAATTGTGAATTTTTGGTTTTGAAAACTAGAAAATAAAACGACTTTTCGTTTCTATAGACAATTTCTACCTTTCCGCTTCAGAACTAGTTGGTGGTTGTGTTTGTGGGGCCACTGTTGTTGTATCGAATTCCATGTCATACTGTGTGGTTATCGATTCGATGGTTGTGGTTGGCGTTAGGGTGGCAGTTGGTTGTGTTGTAGTTGTTGTTGTTGTTTTTGGCTCAGTGAATTGACTTGGCTTCGATGTAAACGCTTCGGGGAGTGTGAATAATTCCGGCCGAATTGGTGCGCGTATTGTCGACGACAATATAAACCGATCGGTTACAAAGTCTAAATCAAATTCATTTTGATCGATTTGTTCATCCCTATACAGATTGGAGTCAGTGGACATTTGGTATGGACTTTTGATTAGTGATCATGTTCTCTTGTTCTAACGGGCTTCAGCAAAGCTCGAAATTTAAATTTTAATGTAAATATTTTCCAAAAAAAAAAATGAAGAATTTTTCTAAATCTAATTTTTCTAAATAAGTTCAACAATGAATTCTCGTTGCAAAAGAGTGTTTGTGCCCATTGATGAATCGCTTCGAAATGGAATTGGTTTTTTTCTTGCTAATTTAATATTTACCCAACAAAAAATAACAACGACCTATTTATGAAAGACAACTTTTTTTCAAACGAAAAACTCTACACTGCAAATCTCTAAATTCGATGTGGTTTGATGATCTAATTGAACCATTTACGTACATATGTATAAAAAAACAAATCAACTATCAACATATGATTAATATCAGGATTAATCACAAACAAATAACAATTAATCTCAACAAATTTTTAAAATGATAAAACAATTTTTGTTGCTTTTGTTGTTGGTGGTGTGTTTGTTTTTTTTTCTGATTTACGCAACAAACATATTAATACACATTACAATTATATATAAAAAAAATAGACATTTAATGCTCATATCGCAATAACAAAAAAAAAAATTCTTATCAGAAGGACACAAAAATTTATGAGCAATTTACGAATTTTTAGTTGAATTAATGCAAAAAAAGGAACGAGATAGGGAATATACATTATGAAACAAAACTTACCGAATTTGCGTCTTTGTCGGTTGATCGTATTCATTATCGGCTTCAAGCTACGCGAACGAAAAATGAGATGGAAATACAGAAAATGAGAAATAATAATTGGAGAAAGACGATAAAACTCTTTAAATAACTGAATCAAATATTTAAATTTCTCTTTATATTAAATGAGATAAAGTCGATTGTTTATGTATTCAAAGAGAGTGTTTTTTAAAATTAATTCTTCTCAAGATAAAGTGATTCTGTCTGTTGATATTTCTTGGAGCCAATTAAAAATGTGTATTTTTTTTTCTCAGTAGAAAAATTATATACCTGTGCTACAAGAGCCTCATCATATTCGGGATTGTATGCTTCGTGTGTTGGTGCTTGCTCATAATTTGGTTTCGATTGTCCGATGTACGTTTGTTGCGGTGCAATAATTTTCGTCGATGTTGGTTGTGTTTGAGTGGTTAACGTTGTGCTTGGTCGATATGTGGTTTGCACGTATTTCGGTTGCGATGGATTCCGGTTATTATTGTATTGTGATGGGTAATCTAAATTTCACACGCAAAAATCGAACCGAAAATAAAAGCAATGAAAAACGAAAGAGAAAAAGAAAGAAAATGAAAATACAACCGGCAATAACAACGAAAAGGAAAAAACGAATAGCCGATGAAAATCAAAGTGCAAGTTCGACAAGTCAATCGAATGAGTCGAGTGATTGAGTTCATCGAACCACTTACCATCTCTGTAGAGATCGCCGGTGTCTTCGGCTTCATCATCATACACGGAGAAATACGAATTATATTGCGTTGGGTTATTGTACTCTTGATTGCTTGTTGCATTGTAATAGTTTCGATTGCTTTCTGGAGCCGGTGGTAATTGTGAAGATGATTCAACTCTGTTGTCGGAACGGAACATGTGAAAATACGAAACGAAAGTAAGTATAAAAAAAAGAACCAAAATAACAAATAACGGCAAATCAAAAACGATCAGAAAACGATTAAATGGTGGGAAATGAAGAAGCATGAATTGGGTTTCTTTTCTCTTTATATTCACGTGTTCTATTTTTGAATGTCATGTAAGTAGTCCCATTTTGTAAGTGTATATATTGTCAGTGTTAGTCGCGATGGTAATGAAAATGGTTTGTTTGGCATGAAATTGGAGAGATGGTGAGTGTATGATGGTTACGTAATGTATGTTTGTTATGATTTTTTTTATTGTTATTAAATTGATGGTAATGGGTTTGGTAATGAACGCTTAATTAGATTTGTATGTGTGTGTGGTTGGTTTTTTTATGCGTAGATACCTGTTTGGTAGGCGTTCGTCAAGTTCCCATAAGTTCTTTTTCAGTGCATTTGTGCGTTGTGCTTTTTGCGCTTTGTTTGCTTGTTTCCAGCGATTTGAATTTGTATTAGTCGATTGCGATTGTGATTGTGATTGCGAATGTGGTTGTTGTTGTCCTTTGGCCGTATTGAAATTGTTATGTTTGGCACGGATCGTGAATGTCTTTGTCTTGGGTGTGCTTGTTGTAGTCAACGTCGTTGTTGTTGTCGACGGTGATGTTTCACTTGTATATTGTGTCGTATGTTTTGACGATGTGCTCGATGTTTTCGATGTGGTTTTAATGTGCATTTTTGGCGCTTTTGATGGTTTCACTGATAAATTGGTCGTTTTACTTCGCGTACGCGATGTATACGGTCGTAATGTTGATTGATTTAAATAACGTGGAATATCCGTTTGATGATGATGATGATGCTGATCGTGTTGTCGTGCACCTTGGAAATTGTCTGCGGGCAATTTGATGATTGCCGGTATCGGTGATGTTGTTTCGGCGTCGTTCTTTGGATAATGCAATCGATCGAAGGTTGTTGTGCTGTGCTTTTTCGCCGTTGTCGATGCCAATGTTGTTAGTGGTTTTTGTGTTACAATCGTAAGTGCTTTGGCGGTGGTTAAATATGGACGAGGTGCTGCTGTTTCTGACATCGGCATGAACTTTGACACATTTTGTGGTGGCATTTTTATGTCACTCGTATCATCATCTTCTTCGTATTCATAATACTCTTCTTCGAGTTTTGGATCTTTTGATTTATACGTTGTTTCGTATTGTGGTGTGCTTATAATGTGTGGCACTGAAAAACTATTAATATAATTCGTTTTCACTGGTTTCGTTGTGTATTCAACGGCCAACGGTGTTGAATGCTTTACCGTTGTGGTTGTTGCAAAGGATTCTTTTTGTTTATGTACGGTTGTCGGTTCATCGTCATCAACATCGTAATAATAATCGTCTGGGCTTGGTGTGGTCGTTTGAATTTTCTTTGATAATGGTTTATTTTGCGGTCGAATTAAAACGGTATCCGATGATTGAACTGGCCGAGCGATTGCATTGTATTTTGGTGTCGGTTTTGGTTTATGTTGCGATTCACGGATATCGTATACAAATTTATTGAAATCAAAATTAACACCAACTTGTGGTCCAATTATTGGTGGTCGCTTTTTGGCCCCAATCAAAACAGCCGTTTCGTAATTCTTTTGCGGTTGTAGATTGTAATTTTTATTTGATGATTCATAGTTTTTGGTGGGATCTTGTGCTTGCTGTAGTTTAATTGCTGGCCGCGGAAATTTCTCAACATTTGGATCCTTAACCGTTTGCGTAATATAAAATCCTTTGGACTTTTCGGCTGATCGATTATCATCGGTGGTCACTTCATACGTATAGAGTGGTTTCGGTGATTTTTGTTGAAAATTTGAAAATGCCAATTCATTGTTGAACAATGGTTTTTGCGTTGTAACAATTGATGTTGCGATCGTTGGTCTTTGTGAAATCAATGGATTGTAATATGGTGAAATGTCCGTATTTTCCTGTACATTGTAAAGATTACCGCTATTGTAAATGTTATTATTGTTTTGATTGTTCTCATGCACAGCGGCCTGTTCACGGTAGACGGGTCGATGTGTGTAATCATTGTATTTCTCGGTGTTTGGTGGCCGTATTTTTGATTTTTTATTGTTATTATTATTATTGTTGTTATTATTGTGATTGATGGCTGTGTATGCAGTGGGATTATTATTGAGAAACCCTCCAACGGTGCTAATATGCACATAATGAGTTTTTGGTGTTGAAGCACTTAAGATTTTTGTCGGTTTGTCTAAATAGTAAATTGGCGGTTTCGGTTGTTGTGGAACCGATTTCGGAACTTGTTGAATCGATTGCTGTTGTGATTGATGACGATTAAATTCTTGTTTAACTTGAACACCATTTCCCATGTGATAATAGGAAAAGTTCTCCGGTAAACTGTCCACATCGCCGGCAATCGACGATGAACTTGAAATTGCGCCCGAATTTTGTAGTTTTGGTATCACCGGTTTTGGTTCACCATTATTCGATACAACTGGATAAAATGGTGCTTGCGACACAAGTTTTGATGGTTTAAAATGCGTTTGAGCATCGCCAACATTGAATGTCGTATGAAGTGTATACGGTTTTGGTGAATTGAATTCGGTAGTGACGGCATTTGGTGCGGAAGTTTTAAAATTTCCATACGGATTACCGTACGGATTGTACTCAGTTTGTTTGAACGATGGCAATTGATAAAATGTATTTTCATTTTTGTAAAAGTCATTAGCCCGTGATGCGCTACCCGGTGGCGTTAGAAATGAATTATAGTTAACACTGCTTAGTTCTGTATCTCTTTGGAAATGGCCGGCATGTTGTTGAGCGCGTGAGGTAGAATGCAATCGCGGATCATTTTGTATATTAAAAGTGTCCGCAAATTGCCATGGTGCCAATGGTGGTGGCGGCGGTCGTAATTGTCGTACCGTTCTTTTGCCAAACTCCACAATTTCACTGTCGTCATTGCCGTTTTCATCATATTTTTTGTTGTCACTTGATTCATTACCATCATTTGACGTTGCCTGATCGTCATCGTGTCGTCGATTTTGTGGTGTCGTTGTCGTTGTTGTCGAAGCTGTGTCAGCGCTAACGTCACGTTTTTTGCGGTCTGAATGATTTGGCGTGTGTGTTTCAATTTTATTGTCAGTTATGTCAATAGAAACAACGTCCGGTATGTCACTACGCATGAGCAATGTAAGTTATTATTTTTTTATTGTTTAATTTGTTGTTGTTGGTGGTGTTTCAAATTTATAAAAAAAAAATTACGAGATATGTCAATGTAATATGATTCTCTCATGGCATAATGAATTTTTATTTTTTTTATTGCGTTCGTGTGTGTATGCGTGTGAGAGATTAAAAGATAAAATTCATTGCAAACACAAGCAAACAAACAAGAAAGAAAGAATGAAAAAAGCAAAATATTCCCGACTTACCTGTGTTGATTGATTTGCGACCCGAATGAAAATGATCCGACTTTACCGTGGCTGGGCAATGCATTAACATGTTGCGTGATTAAACCGTCTCGATCGCGTTGAACCTGGCCAACGGTGTTCGGCTGTCCACGATACACTCTCTGTTGGCGATCAGATTCTTCTTCCTCGATCGGTGGTAATGTGTCGTGAGCTTCGTACAACTGTGTGTACATAAAAGTAGTGATATAAATTAATCATTGCATCAAAAAATAAGAAGGTGAAAAACATGAAATCAACCATTTCCTTACCTTGGCGATATCAATGTTGTCCAATGGTTTTGGTTGTCCTCGTGATGTGATGACTGGATTTGGTTGAACGACACGCAATTCGGGCGGTGGTGGTAATGTATTTGAAATTGGTGAATATGTTTGCGGTGTAACTGGGGCCACCGATGATTGTCGCACTGGTATTGAATCCGGAAACCGTTCGGTTTGCGGTGTTGATGATACCGATGAAAATCGGAATTTATTTGGCACTACTTGATAAGCGTCATGCTGTTGCTGTTGCTGATGTTGTTGTTGTCGCCCATTCAAATCACGGCCAGAACCATTTGGCGACACATTTTCATCGGATGATGGTTGTTCGCATCCCACATTTCTTGGCCAATCGCACGTTTGCAATTCATGACTATACATCAATCCGCCCGTACAGCTCTCTAATAATGCACCGCCAAATACGCACACATAATATTGTGAACAATCGGACGGATGTGGATAATAACCAAACTCTTCGGGACACTCAAATGCGTCGGACGTTGCTGACCCTTTTGGATTAACGCCCAACGATCGTGCTATTGTCGACGGTCGTCTCGATTGTGCATACGCTGTTAGATGCTCTGAAAATAGAAAAAAAAATTGTAAACTTGATGTTAGTCAAGATGGTTAAACAAAGTCAAATGATTTGAAATAAAACAGACGAGCATGTTTTAACATATATTCAACGCAATAAATTCACAATTCAAATTGAAATTTCTGTGTGAAGACGATGATGTTGTTTGCCATTGCACCTACTCAATTTATACACACATCTTGTTTTGCATCAATGATTCGTTATCATTATTCATGTTTGTTGTGCGCAAACAAACCCGTCGAACAACCATTCGTGTTATAATGTTGTCAATGCAATTGTCAGACATATGCACGAATTTGGTGTTTCATTCGGAGTTTAGCTTTTTTTACTCTTCCATCTCGTCGATATTGCGAAAGGATATACATCGATATATTGAAAACAAGAAATGCGCACATTGTAGGCGACATTTAAGCAGCGAAAAAAAAATTGAAGAATATTCGCAAATGTGTTTCGTTCATACATACACACACTGACAAAAAGTCAACATATATTGTATGGTGCCATCGCGCAGAAAGATTTATCGTGTGGTGTCGAAAAATGAAATAAAAACACAATCGATTGGATTTTGAATGCAATACATCGTCAAAAGCCACAATAACTCATTGCAACTCGCGCTTCGATTTCGATAGATTCCTTTTGTTGTTTTGCTCGAATGAATTTTCTCATCGCGCCGATTTTGACTAGAATATTTAGATAGAAAAGGTGTTTAAGACATTATATAGCATGTACATTTTCGGTTCATTTAATGTCTCATTACAAAACCATCGTTCGAAGCATCCACCTTGACTTGTCACATTGAGACGACATTTTGCCATAGGTTTTTTCTCACTCTCTCGAAAAAGCGTTCAAATTGATTGCTTTTTTTTCTTCTTCTTTTTTTCAATTGCCAAACAACAACAATGATGACACCCAATGAACAACATACAAACAAAGGAGAAGCGCTGCTTTGATCAAAATGCATTACTTCATGCATCAACTGATTAATGCATTGATAAAGAATATTCGGTTTTAAAAGCCCGAAAAACCGCAAATGCTTTTAAAAATCACACATACACAAGGTTCAATCCACATTAATAATAAAAAAAGTTCGGTTTCTTTTGGCTTGGAGACAGTTGACGGGTGTTGTTTTTTTCGGCTTCAAACACTTCAATATTGCATATATGTTGTGGCGGAAAAAAATTGGAATTTGTGAACTTTGAATTGTTGTTGTTTTTGTCGATTGTACTTGCCAGAGCTCGGTGTCACATGTTCTCTTCATTGAACCAAAACGTATAATGTGTACGAATAATTAGGTTCTGTGTCGCAATTGAAAAATTCGAATCACAACCGATTTAGAGGGAAAAAAATATCATTAGTGTTTCAATTATGCCGCTGGCTGTGTTCGCGTAAATGCTTAACCATGTATGTGTGTGTTATGTACGCGTTGAATTCGCGACTGATCACAAAACCAAGTGACAGTGGTGGTTTTTTTTTCTTCACTCGATCGGAGTCACTCTTCAGCATCTTTTCAATTTACTATATGGCCACATTTATAAATCGCTCTCTATCTTATGTTCTTTACAATGGCATTCAGTTTTGAATTTCGTGGTATAACGGTATGCTAATTACGCCTTAAAGGCACAAGTGATTTATATTTATTTATTTATTTTGTTGCGGTCGTTCTTCAGTTCGTTCATATATTTCAACTAGCGCAATAATCAAACACATCTCTCACTTGCAATTCGGCAAAAGAGCAAAAAACGAGAGATATTCATCGTAAATTGAAAACGATATAAATAAACAAGTAGGTTAGAAAACCATGTTGTGTTTATTTGTTTGTTTTCAATTGCGTGAAGGTCATCAGAGTTCGTTTATAACGTGCGCGGTCTCTTATTTGCTCACAAACGATAATATTGATATTGCATGAACAAAAAACCGAGCTCCTCGAAGATGAAGAGGAAAAAACACATCACAATTTGAATATAAAAATTTCGGAAATGCGGAGAGTGAATCGTTTGGCTTGAGATGCGAAGAAGTAACAAAAAATATGCACTTTCAACAATGATGAAAAAAAAATCTACATAAATGATATGCATGATTGAACACACTAAATATAACGAAAATGTGAAGGTAATTTGCAAACTTTTATGCAGTTTTATTGCAATGAAGAAAAAAAAACATACCGCAATAAATCTGAATGGTACAATCGATTCCTATCGAGTTTACAATTATTCATTTTTTATTATTATTAGTAATTAAGTCCCTTGAAGGCAACTCTTTTTTTTTCTGAAAGCGTAGGCATTTCCAACTCGAACACACTATAATAACAATGCTGCAGTTATGATTGATATAATACACAAATTTGTGGCAAATCAATTAATCGTTCCATAAACATTCAGTTTTTAATAATTCTTGTTTTATGTGCTCGGAAATAGATTCAGATTGAAATTGACTTTTCCTTGCTTTCAATTAGAAATAATTAGGCGCAAAATGCAAGGAACAAAAACTCGTTTGAAAGAGAAAAAAAAAACAATGCCCAAGTCATTGATTGTGCACGATCGTGCTCCGATTTATCGAGCGAAAATAATGCATTTGCAGAAAAATTAGTGCCATATTTAGCGTCGATTGTAGTTCATTAGTGTATTTTTTTCTTCTTCTCTCCCCCGTTCATAACAATTAATAGATAAATGTTATGAATTTAGCACGATTTATGATTATTATTTTATTTTTTCAGTCGGACCGCATTTATATTGCGCAGTTGATTGCAGTTCGGGAAAATTTCGAAGAACGTGCGAAATTGTCACGAATTTTGCGCAAAAACAATAGCAACAACAACGCAAAAGGTCTGTGTTAACGATTGTTGTTTTCGTCATCGTTGTCATTAGCCCCGAGCGAGATAGATATAGCATGAGAGTAACGAAAAAAATAAAATGAAAGGGTATTTGTTGTTGTATAAACAATGCAGACTGCAGAGTAGCGTTGAAATGACCTCCAAATTGAGTCAAAGAATAAGGTCACGCTTTTATTGATATCCATCATAATTCCATGTGTCAAAATGAGTTCCAACACAATATGTAGTCAAAAGTCTTTGGCCACGCGCGCTTGTTGGTCCTCGTTTGGATATTGTGCGGAGGAGAGAAAATTCCATACATGTATAAATGTTCATATCATTCTCTCTTTGTTTAGATACAATAGTTCGATTAAATGTCAATCATTGTACGATCAAATCAATCACAATCGAAATCGAGTATGTGAACTCAAATGCGATTGCGTATTCGAAATTGAAATTTATACACGTCATCTCATCATATTACCATTGAATAGGCTCGCTGGAAGTACAAGCAGAACGAAGAAATGAAATAATATGGCAAAAATCTGATTAATAATAATATGTTTTGATTCAAATTGAGCCAAAGCAATTATTATGGTGTGTTGAATTTTCACTGATCTTATTAATAAGCCGAGCGGAGTTTAAGTTTTTCTGAATGGTGTGCGGCGCGCAAGAGACTGAGAAATTGCGCGCGAAAGAAATGAAATCGGTTACCTTTTTTTATGCTGAAAAAAGGCAGCAATAACGTGATTGTTTCACCGACGATAATTCGAATAAACGACTCTCATTGAAATCACTTGAAATACTGAACCAGTTTAATTAAAGTCGAGCGCGCGATTATTATTTATATTTTTTTTTCGTGCGTTTTTCTACTTTCTTTTTTTATTCCGTAAATAAATGGAATTATTTTTTTATTTCTTCTGTTCATTTTTGCGCGCCAGCATTCTTTTGTATCCGATTAAATGATTATGCGAAATTGTGCAATCAATTTCTTTAGACTTGTCCAAATTCAAAGTGACGAGAGAAAGAAAGAGCAGATTGTTTTATAACTGGATCACTTTTGATTTCAATAAGTCATAAATGCATGATTTTATTTGTGCATAATAAAAAAATTATAAGGCGATTTCAAAGTATTCATTTCATTTGATTTTATGCGTTAATAATCTCCGATTTTATTCTGTTGCGCTAAAAGAAGGAAATTGTTACATTAATACCGTGCTTAAACTGATAAAACGAAATTATCGTTGGTGTATTAATATTGAACACATTTCGAAAAAAAGGCGTTTTAAATTGACGGGCGGCAGAGTTGAGGAAATCCAGAAAAATCATTTGAAATGGAAAGGATTTATTATATTTATCGAAACATGAACATACACCATTTTTTTTTGTTTTCGTTTTCATATTATTGGCTCAAACATTATTGGAGAACGTATTCACAGCAAATGTTTTATCTGCATAATTTTTCTCTAGTTTTTTTTTCTTCCATAAATTCGTGTGTTATTCCTTCCAAAGTTACGTAGGTGAATTAAATCGATGTGTGTGTGTGTTTTGTGCCAGCTTAAAGTAAAAGTACTTTATTGCTATGTAATATTCGTAAATGAATTTAAATCTCTCACGATACTCGCTTGTGCACACATTTCTTGAATGTGTCGATACTTTTTTTTTCGTACGTCGTCGTAGAAAAGATTTCGGGTCTGGATAGACGAAAAGAACGTGACAAATGAAAGCCTGAAAACCATGTCAGAAAAATATGTGCATATGACTACAACGCAACCAGTCAACCTTTTCGATACACACAAACAACGGATTCTTTTTTTTTGTTTTCTAAATAAATATTTTTCTGTATTTTTCCATAATTTTTCTTCTGATTACTGTTGTTGTTGTGGTTTTTTTTTCGTTAAAAATTTCTATTTCAGTCCAGCGGAATTTGAAACAAAAACAATGCACAAAGACATACAGAAAATTGGTTTTCTATTTTGTCGCGCGCATAATGTACTTAAATTCGTTAAATGTAAAATGTGCCGTGGGCGTTTTTAAATGCATTTGCTTAATAAAAAGCCTTTTGTTTTTGTACAATATGTTGACTTGTTTAACACACACCGAAAACACAAACAGAAAGAAATATTTCTTCCGCCGTGCGACAGATTGGTATGAGTGTGTTTATAAAAGGAAATGAT